GACCCAGAAAGCGAAATTTGAATATCACACACTTAGGTGCAAGATTATGCCAAAATTTCATGTTTTCCGTCACGTTTTTGCTCATTTCTCGGAGGAAAAATGAGCAAAAACGCTCATTTGTACATCATTCTAGAGAGAAATAAATGGCCTTTTCAGAAAGTGAACCATGGATAGGGAAATGTTGGCAGTTTTCTCAAAAAATGCTTGATTTCAAGAAGTTTTAGATTTGCGTGTTTTTTTTTTGGTTGCAAAATCCACTTGAACATGACGCTTGTTTTTTCAAAGTTTCTCAGGAACCATTCGAACCAGAGAATTCGTTTTGGCATCGTTGGATAGAGAATTGGATCCGCCCTTGAGTAGGCGTAACTGGGCAAGTGGCCATAAAGTGAAACGTGGCAAAGTCCGGGCCTGGGTTGTCACCCCGATATACGTTCCGGGGCCCTCGTAACTCGAGCGGCGGTACCCCGGGTACGGCTATCGTTTGCGGTGCCGCCTGCCGCTGTCACCCGTTTCCCAGATAGAGGCTGCGACACTTTTCTGCATACGCATATTTTCTGAAATCGATTTACATCTTCGGCTGTCCCTTTACGGGTACTGCCGTGGCTGCCGAGGTAGCCTTTTTTGCCCCGCTCGCAACAGGTTGAAATTCAATGAATTCACTGCTCGTTGTTGGGACCGCGCCGCTTCTAGGAAGCGCAACATCTTTGTCTATGGACCGGTAGTAGATTTTTAGTAGGTGCGTGTGTCATTTCGAGGTACCCACCAGACAACTGAAACAAATTAAGCCCGGTACCCTTTTGGTGGGCAAACCAATAAATTAGCGCGCGAGATGGTACTGAGCGATAAGCGGCGGTGCCAAGCAAACCTTAATTTAATTTATTCGATATCGACGAGAGTAAATCGCGGCGGTCGCAGATCGACTTTGTGATATCGGCGTCGTACCGCGGGCGGTGGATTTTTTGCCTTCTGAACGCAACGTGCGTCACTGACAACTGGAAAAATCGAAATTGAGCAAAACGCGCCGAAATGTTTAGACGACAATGAGCCCAACTAATTGCGTGACTTGAATATTCAACCAATCGGATTATCAATTATTGGTAACACACATTTCGGCGGTGTCTTTGGCTGGTTCTCCGAACGCGTATCGCCTCTCGATCGCCTTCCATGACTGGACACTTTTGCCTTTTCAATTCTCGAAATTGAATTTGGATAGTGAAAACGACGAATTTATCAATCGTCAGACGGGGGGTAGAGGTTTTCCCAACAGTTCCCATTTTAGACTTGATATCCGACTTTGCCCAAATGAGAACGTGCCCGGCTCCAATCGCACGCAGAATTTTAATTCCTACTAATTAATCATCAGTGAGTCAAAAACATTCAGCGAATGCGGCATTAGAGGAAAACCGTTCAAGCTCACCAGCCCGTTAATTAACATTTGCAACTTGCAACTATACACCGAGAAATGTTGCAACCCATTTTGAACTTTTGAACAGCGCAATTTGAAAACTAACCTCAAAATCGCTGCAACGCTGACATGTTTGTCAACAAATACCTGCCTGTGCTTCTCCTTAAACATTTTCAACACCTCGGTCCTCTTTTGGAGGATTCAATGGTTTGGAGGTGCGGTTTTACTGTCTTTTTCTTTAGACAAGACCAATTCGCCATTTCCTCAAATCTTTTCAAAAGTAGGTTTGTTTACTTACAAAGTGACATACTGCACATGTTTCAGATTTAGATGTTGTTCTAGTGGGCGCCACTGGAAACTAATCTGGAATTCTCAGCGCTTGTAGAAGAAATCTACTTCTCATGACAAGACTACAGAACAATTTTCTGTCGGTTGTTTTTGGCGGAAAATTTGAATTTACTTTAATATTAAGTACTACGTTAGCCAGAAAACCAAATTTTTAAGGGACGTTTTGCGGAGACACACTCAATCACAGAACATTCCCCCATTAGGCCCAGAGGCATTAGGCGTGCAAACTAAGATGGCGTCCTTTGTTGTTATGGAAAAGTCGTGAATTTCAATGAATTAAAAGTGGCCGGAAACCCCAAAAGCTGCCATTGACAAAAGTTTTTCGCAAAGCGATTATCTATAAGGTGAGCATATTCTTAACCGGGAACGCAATGGTCTGATCATCTAGATAATTACCATCTATCGCACTACGGAATCAAAACAGCTTAACATTATTGTCAAACCAGAGGAATTGTGTTCACGAATAACGTTTTCTACAGTAGGCTGTTTTCACATGAAATCTTACAAAATAGGTGTAAAATTGAATCGGCGAGTTCGAAAACCGTTATTTTAGGATTGAAAAAAATCTATACACCTTGAAACTACCTAATTGATAGCATTAGTACACAGAAAAGTTTTAGAACTGACGGTTTCCAGAAAAACATAATAAAACCATTGAAGAATAGCTAAAACCGCCAATGGACTTGCACACAAGAGGCATCAAGAAAAAGGGGCACAAAATGGCGATTGTTAATTGTACTTACACCCAAACGTCAAGATTCTGGCAGGTAGAACAGGAAAGAATACCGTTGTAAGTCCGCGACACACACTTTGAGCATACCTAGACCTTTAAAATACATTAAAAAACACTCAAACACTCACTTCGGTGAACACTTCTCTCAACAAACACTAAAGATTTTGTGGTTAGGGTCGCGTGTTGCCGCCACCCGCTAACCAATAAAAAGCTCCCATTGCGGCGCGCGTAATTCAAACCAACCCACTAACCTGAATCACATCAACACGCTGGTTTAATGACTAATAAAAAACACATTTAATACGGAAAAACTTAAACAAAACAAGTCAAGATTAACTCAACATAAAAGTAACGTGTAAAATGCCGGTAAGTGGACCGTATGTAAGTCTGAACGGTTTATTGTATTAAAATTACGAACTAAATTATCGAAAGAGTTCGGAATACTCTTTTACGATAACAAATAAGATTGAATATATTATATATATATGTTTATGTAGATACTTTGTAGGATCGCTCGAAGAAGCTCACGGCTGAACAGGACGGTTATGGAACCAGCAACGCTAATTGTACAACGGAATATTATCACAGAACTGAAAAAAATGGTCAAGAATTTCCTGCAGTTGACTAAATGCTTTAAACACACGGTGAGCTTCTTCCTGCCATTAGAAATAGTCATAAGTAGCATGGTCATTCGCCGGTTTATTTTTCAATGTCGCTGATCTTCTCCCAATCGTCGTCGGTGCTGCTGCTGCTGCTACCCGCCTTGCCTAAACTAATTGCAGAGTCAACTTTAGTAAGCTGCATTGTAGCGCTCGGGTCTACAGCGGGAATTTCCGATCTCCTCACTGCCGGTTCTTGTGTTATCACGTCTAAATACATTTTCCCTAGTAGTGCCCACCAACCCAAAAAAGACTCTAGTTGTACTTACGGGATTTTTCAACAGCCGCGCCATCCTGATGTTTAGCTTTAGATTTTTTGCCGGTCTGCGACTTACTTTTCAGCTCTTTTTCGTATTGTTCAAGCAAGGCGATCTGCTCCTCCTCAGTTAGTTCCACATCAGCCGCAAAATCTACCAAAAACAAAGTCGACAAACCCTTTAAAAACGATCTCACAAATACAACTGATTTGACGAATATCAAACGGTTCGGGAAAAAATAACGACAAAGCCCTAACAGCCAATTCCATGCCATTATTGGCCCCCTGAATTCCCCCAATTACTAGCTACCTCGTTCCCATTTCATGCTTGCTTCGCCATCTTCTTTAGTAGTTGGACGAGGTTCCTTCTCCTTCTGCTCGCGCCTTTGTTGGAGCTCCTGCCTAGCCAAATCGTCCTCCAACAGGGCCTTCTTGAACAAATACCTGCAAAATAAGATTTTCCTTGCGGCTAAAGCCCAACAGTCTCAGAGCCGCGTACCTCTTCCAAAATAGCTGATGTTCCAAAACCTCGGGCACCAGTTTAGCATAGTGTTGCTTCAGGACTTCTGAGCTATTGACCTGCTTGGCTATTCGCTCATCAGACAGCTGATCCGGCTCCAAAATCTCCAGCCAGCACTCGTACTGTTTTCTGAGCTGGGGCGCCGGGTCGCTCAGATATGTGTCCGGGTCCTTCTGCAGCTCGTAGAGCGCTTGCTAAACCACGCAAATCTCAGTAACTAATTCTCCAATTTCTAGATAGTTTGCTCGGGTCTCACCTGCAATTTGTTGAGCTGATGAGTTTCTGAGTTTTCAACGATGAGAATTTCGGTATCCTCGTCGTCGGGGCCGGGGTTCAGAACGGTGTTCATTTGACCTGAAAAGCAAAGTTGTTCAAAACAATTGAGACTTGTAGGGCGTTGGGCTCACCTAAAAAGGTGCTAAAGCTGCGTTTCACCGTGTTTGCGGTTGAGTCCGGTGACTCCAGCTGAAATAGATTAGAAAACAATGATGCCCTACTAAATGAGCCTCGGGCAGCTGCTTACACTTAGAGTTTTCTCCATCACTGAGCCTGCCGAAGACACCACACTAGTCGCCTCATTTTTCACTGCAGTCCCGAACTCCTCCAAGTCTTTCTTGACAAACTCCAACACCTCAGTGCTCTGAAATCCACGATTAGGGTTTTTCGCAGAAAAGTTACCAGAAATTACCTTGTTTTTAACAGCACTCAGCCAGGAGTTAAACCATCCCTCGTTCGAGGATGTTTGAGCAGGATTCCTGTTGAAACACAAACAAACCGTCTTATTATTGCACAACAAACCAATTGTCAATAACAATAGTGCATTGGAATATGTTTTGGGGGCCGAACAGCCCAAGGGTTTCCCACAAAACAACAGTGATTCAGGCTGGTTGAACAACAAAAATGTGGCCGTTTTATCGGGAATTCGGATATAAAGGGGGCAACACTCACGTGTCCGAGTTCTCGGCCATATTTTCCCACAAAATACACTCGTTTTGCACTGATAATTTATCCACACCAACGTTCAGTTATGACACCACTTTGACAGGAACTGATCTTTGTTTTGTTTTTATTAATTTGTCGTAACGGCGGCCATGATTGGTGCGGATTGGCCTGAAGTTCACAGCGAAGGAGAACTCCAAACAAGCACTTTTAATTACCCTTTCAGCCTGCTGTCTCTGTCGTACTTCGCAGGCTAAAAAAAGGCAGGCAATGCCCAGAACAGGTAATTGCACTCGTCTTTATCTATGATTGCACTTGTCACTTGTCTTCATCTATGTTTTGCTATTTGAGGTTATATACTAAAGTAGCTGGTAGTTACACAAACTAAAACTATTGTAATTATGAAGCAAATGTATTGTTAGTTTATTAGTGTTTAGGTAAGCAATTGGCAGTAACCATTTCAATGGTTTTACTCCTTACGCCCATTACAAAGGGCATATTTTACTATCACAGTATGATCCTCCCTTTATCTATAGGATGATCCTTGCCATCGTTCAAACATTCCTCTACGCAAAGAAGCGTTATCGTTTTATCGTAGATAAAGTTTTTCTTTATATCCCAGTTTCCAGTAGGCACAACGCAAACATCTGTGTAGTTGAATGCTCTGTTTTAGTTCCTCAAGCAAGCCAAATGAACCAACAAGAGTTTGAAGCGATTGTAGTCCGCTTGGAGCACGAGATCAAGTACATGGGATTGTCGTTGCAAGAGCAAGTAACCAGGTGTGCGGAAAAGTTTCGCAAAACTGGAAACACGCCCCAATACATTCAGAAAATTGCCAATATTCTGGAAAAATTCGACGAATACGTCAAGAAGCATGCCTGTTCGATTCAGAAGAGAATTGAGGGTGAGCGAAAATAGGATCGTGATTTATGCAACTGTTAATGTGAAACATTCCGGTTCTAGATGCCGGACTGCAAGACAAATACGCGGATTCTTTGAAGACGTTGCGAGCGCTTTCAAGTCAGGACGAGCATACCGAAACTGTTCAATGCTCCTCCGAATTGGCGCCCATCAGAAAGCAAACTTTCTCAGAGGCCGACAAAATTTGCAATGAAACAACTGTTCAACAGCCTACTACCAACAATACTGATGCGCACAGCTCATCACAGACCAACCAAGAGGGTGTTTGTGGAGAGAAATGCATTCCAGTAGCGTCTGAGCCGGTGCAAAGCACTGAGATGATCCAAAGCGTGCCAATTATCCTTAGCAGCGACTCCGATGATGAACTCAACTCAACTCAGGCCCAAACTAAGTCAACCAGCAGCCCTAACGTCGACAATATGTCGATAAACAGTGACGAAACTGTGAGATTAGATGGACCGAGGGAAATCGACTCGGATAACACCATTGTAGACCCAACTGATATGATGGAAACCCAACTGAATTCACGGAACAGCACAGAGAGCGAAGTATTCAATGGGCCAGAGGCCGACGATTTATCCGTAGTTTCACTTGATTCCACCAAATACGACCAGAGCGGTGCTTCAGGAGATTTACAACCAGACTGCAAAGCTACAAGCAACAATGGCAAGCAAACGCCCAAGGAACTAGAGGAGAACGGTAAGTAGTCTGAACTGAATTTTACGCAATGTGGACACATTGAAGTGTTTTAGGTGGTGCGGAAAGCTCAGATGAAAGTGAGTAGATCCAGGAGTTTTTCGGCAAATCTACATCGGTTTTTTCCCAGGCAACATTAATGCCCACTTCAAGAGCAAGATGAATGACAAGGACAGGAAGCTTCTATTTACGTTAATCGGGAAGTTCTTCAAAGACCTGCAGAATAACCAGCAAAACAACGAAAGTAGCAGCGATGAGGCGCGGGAGCCTGTGAAGAAAGGGCGAATGCTAAAAAAAATTCGCAAAAAATCCCGCATTAGAGCGCAAACAGTAGACGAAAAGCCAATAGTTCAGGATTGCAGTATTCGGCTGGTGAAGATGAACACTAGCGCAATTGCGGCGGCTGCGAATAGTAGTCTTAGCTCCGTCCCTGAATCGGAGGAAACTGAAAACGAGGTAGGTCGAGCAAATAGAACAATGTTGAGTCCAATTTCATTAGATCATTAAATTTCGGAGAAAAAAATGCCGCCCCATACCCAGTGATGAGTCGGAAAGTCAATTGGGGTCTGAGCAAGAGAGAACCGATTCCAACCTTCAGGACTCCAAGAGAAAAAGACCTAGTAGCAATTCCGAATCTTTCTCCTGCAGGTGAGTCTACTGAATAATGAGCGGATCAATATTAAGAGTGTTTAATGTTCCAGTAGCCATTCAGCAACAAAGATACGGAAATTGTCCAGCACTGGCGGTAAATCTGCGCTTCGTTGATCTAAACACTCAACATTGATGATATGATATTTTTCCAGATAACTCAGACAGTGCGTATTGTATGGACAGTAAAGCCAGGGACAGACTCTTGAACATGCTCATCGAACAAAACTCCCGTACGCAGAAAGCATCGGATTCAAAGGAAATAACTGCGAAGCAGGGCCAGAAGGAACTGGGCGACAGCGCCGGGATCAACTTGCTTCAGCAAAAGGAGCTGGATGGGGCTGCGGAGGACGCGCTGCTGAAGACAGACAGTGATGAAGAGGACGAAATCCAGTCAAGTGAGCGAAACAAATAAATATTCTGAGTTGAAACAAGCGAGTGCCTCGGACCTCTAGGCTAGAATTGAGCGCGATATCTTGAAAACTGACCAAAAAAGGATTTTAGCTTGGTATTAACAATTCTGCATGTTAGATGTATGAGCAAGACAACAGCTCTTGAGATGTTTTCTCCATTACAGAATCTTACTGAGAGTATGGACGCCTTGCTTCGTCAGGCGTCATGGGCAACTTGACCCCAATGCGAATTCTTTCTTTTACTGTATAATACAATTGGTGAACAATAGACGGTTGTTAATTTCTCATTGTTTTAGTTGTCCAGTTTAAATGCTTCCTGATCTCATCTGAGTTAATCCAATTTCAGACCCAGATGGTGGATGCAAGGCGTTTAAGTTCACGGAATCCCAGCGAAGCAAGCTGTTGGATCTTCTGACCGGCGTTGTGGAAAACGGGGTTATTCGGAGCGACGCCGAGTCCTCTTCAGAGTCTCACGTGGACAACAAGCGCACGTTAACAGTCGCCAATGTGTCCAGGGAAGAACTGAACCAACTGCTGAGCGAGTTTGAAGAAACTGTCGTTCTAAAAGCGAGTAAGTTGGGGACTGATATTTGCCGAACAAAATCTAGTTTGAGTTGCTATAGGAGACACTGGGCACGAAGACGTGAAATGCGCTGAAGAACGTGTTGAAAGTTCAGATCCGGAAAACGACTTGATCGACATTCTCCGAGAGGAAGTGATCAGCACAAAACGAGGTCCTGGACGACCGCGCAAAAGTGTGGAAAGCTGGAACGCATTCAACAGTCTGATGAAAAGCGAGGACGACATATCCGATAGTAGGTGAGTATCCGATAATAGGCTGAAAGGTGTTGATTTTTTTCAACTTTTTCTGGGCACAGCTCATCCATATCACTATTCAGTGATTTGGAGGCCGCACTGTCCGATCAGGAGGAAACGCATGAAGTGAAGCAGGCAGAAGCAGCTCAATGGGAACAGAAGTCCGCCTTCAAGAAGGAGCTTATTGTTATAGTCAGGCGCTTGGACCTGTCCAAGTACGAAACCAGCCAATTCTCCAAAGGCAGTGACGACAGGTAAGATTTTAATAGATTAGTCAGTAGGCATACCATATGTAAAGTAACGCCCTACTAAACGCGGCTCCTTTGCAAGCGACTGCTCGATGCTCAGGTAACCCATTCGATTCAACCCCAGCCCCCCAAAAAACTCTACTCAGCCGCTTTGCTTTGGCAGGCCCTGCAATCTAGATAATGCTGTCGAAAGCCGCGGCTCCAGTCCAGCCTCCCCACCCAGAGGCAATTGGGTCCAGTCCACCAGTTCGGAGTTCTCCGGATCGTCCTTGTCGTCTTTTATTGCCTCTGAGTGCGGCTCTGATGTTGAATACGCAGATTCGCCGGAAGACTGTGCACATTTGGCCAAGAGCCTTTGGGATAAGATTTGCAGCAGTTCTGATGAGAAAAGCAGTGTGAAGTGCTCAACTTCCAGCAGTTCTGCCAGCGAAGAAGAGGAAGAATCCAGCAAGGACGCTGGTGTGCAGGTAAGCGCTTTATTAATGCGCTTTGGGGATATATTTCACTTTTGAAGCTTTGTAGAAGTGGGCGGGACAGCGTAAGCGCTCACCCTCCTGGTGCGCCGATCCGCTTCTGAGAGCTGATCCACTCATCGGTGAACATAGGCAGAAGCGGTAAGATTCTAGCCGTTTGAAGGCAATTTTCGCTTGAATGAACGGCACACATTGCAGAAAGCGCAGTAAAACCCGCATTCCACCCAGCCCTCTGGCTTCAGATAGCGATGCCACTTATGTGGAAAACGCAAGACACCCAAAAAGGAATTTTTTCGCCGATTTATCCGACGACAGTGACTTTGAAATGTGAGGTGAGAGACGATTTTGCCGTTCGCACTAAATGTTCTTGTTCTAGAATCGAGGGCTACAAAACGCCAGAGGAAGCGATAATTATCACCGATGAAGAGGAGGGTAGTTCCAGCAAGAAAGGTACCAGCGATCAGCCTAAGTAATGCGTTTTAATGAATAAATGTGGTTGGTTTGCCAGGTAAAGGTCGGAGAAACATCCGAGCAGTGGTTGAGGACCAAGACCTGGCCGAGGCCACTCAGCGAGCCAACAATGAGGAGCGCGAAAGAATCAAGCGACTGCAGGAGCGAGAGAAGAGCAAGGAGAACTGCACCCACTATGCCAGTGAAGAGGAGGCGAATCCTTTGAGTGCGTGTTTCGCGGCACGATTTGTAAATTTTCTCAACTAACAGCTCACACTAGTTTTAGACGCTTTGGACTCTGTGGAAGTGAAAGTGCACCCATCGATCACCAAGAAACTGAAGCCTCATCAGCGCAGCGGCATTCAGTTCATGTGGGACTCTTGTTACGAGAGCATCAAGCAACTGAAGATGGGATATGTGAGCTCGGGCTGTATCCTGGCCCACTGCATGGGCCTCGGCAAGACTTTACAGGCAAGTTAACTACTTATTTAAGACCCAGCTTTATCACATTGGTTATTGCAAACTAAAAATGGTTTTTTATCTGATTCAATTCCAGGCACTAGCCTTGATAGAGGCGCTGTTTCGAAACCCCATCACCAACACCAAGTACGTTCTGGTCGTATGTCCGCTGTCCACTGTCTCCAATTGGAGGAACGAATTCAATCTGGCCTATGAAGGGATCAGGAATTTGAACATTCGCCTCTTTACCATCGAGTAAGAACTTCCTTTGATTCTTTAGTTGTCCCAAGAACGTTGTTTGTAGGGACAAAAAGACGTCGATCCGCAAATTTGACATCACCATCGAGTGGAGGCGAAAAGGTGGCGTTCTAGTGCTCGGCTACGAGTGTTTTGGTATGATGATCAACCAGCAGAAGCTGGATAGACTGGCGAAGGACGGAATTGACAAGGCCCTCATTCTGCAAGCGCTGGTCGATCCAGGTAAAGCCCTGCTGGCTCTAGTGTGGACCTATAACTGTGGTTGTTGCGGTCTGCAGGTCCAGATTTAGTGATTTGCGATGAAGGCCACCTGCTGCGGAACAAACAGTCGCAACGGACGGTAGCCATGAACCAGATCAACACAAAAAGGCGCATCGTATTAACAGGCACCCCGTTGCAGAACAATTTGCTAGAATGTGCGTTTGCACAGTGGTAACTAAAGCAGGTTAACAGCGTCTCTTTTGCAGATTATTGCATGGTAAACTTTGTCAAACCCAGCCTTCTGGGTACGGAAAAGGAGTATAAAACGAACTTTGCCAATCCGATCACCAACGGGCAGTTTGAGGACTCGACAGCTGAAGATATTATGTTGATGAAGAAGCGTACGCATGTGCTGCACAAGATATTGCACCGGACTGTGCAGGTAGGAGAATAGGACAAAATAGCTCGCAATTAAGAGTCTTTGCTTTACATGCGGCTCAATAGAAAAACCATTATTTTTGTTGTTTTTTAGAGAGTGGAAGATACGGAACTCAAGCGGTACCTGCCCAAACTGATTGACCAGGCCGTATTTATCCAGATGAGTGATTTGCAGGTGAACTTGTACAATACGTACTTGGACTCGACGGATTTGCGTCCCATCGTGTACACGAAATCAGGCACTATTAGCCGAAAAAATTTCTTAGCGGACATGCAGGTACTGCAGGTGGGAACTAGTGGCGTAACAATTGGGCGAGAGGTTGAACGGTGTGGGTTTCAGTACATTTGCAGCCACCCCAACGTGCTGACGACGGCAGAGAAAACGTCCAAGGCCAAGATCAAAGAACAGGACGTAATTGAGGATCATATGGATGTGGATGTGGACGCGAACGTGCTGAGGAAAGGAGACTGGCACAAGGCGTTGCTCTCGATGGATGGGACCAGGCAGCTCGGGATGGGCACTAAATTTCTGGTAGCGATCGGGATTGTGAAAGAAGCCGCTGCTGCAGGCGATAAAGTGTAAGGTTGCTCTTTCGTTGCCTGCCTGCCGCCTTAGCAAATGCCGCAAATGTTTCCAGGTTGATATTCACGCACTCATACGCAGAGATGGACAATCTGGAGCTGTTCCTCTCTGAAAGTCTGCAATTTGTCAAATACGTGGATTATTACCGAATGGACGGCACTATCATTCCGGAAGCCCGCTCAGTGATTTGCAACAAGTTCAACGATCCCAATAACTCCCAAGTCAAGTGCGTGATCGGGTTACTATTCAGTTGTTTTCTTCATTGGACAAGTCGCTTTTTTAGAGCTCTCATCGTATCCACTAGAGTGGGCGGCCTGGGGCTGAACCTGACGGCGGCCAATCGCGTTATCATCATGAACGTTAGCTGGAACCCTTCAAACGACACCCAAAGCGTCTTCAGGGCGTTTCGATTCGGTCAGGAAAAGCCCGTGTTTGTCTACCGACTGATTGCCATCGTGAGTAGCGCTAGAATCGAATGTGAATTACTGAAATAAAATAACCGTTTTTTTCAGGATACTATGGAGGAGAAAATCTATCAACGAGTCGTTACAAAGCTGGCTGTGGCCCATCGCGTGGTGGACAAACACCAAATCACCAGACACTACACGGCGTCCGATATACAGGAGTACTATGCAATTAGGCCGAGGATCAGGCGTGATCGGCCACTGCCAAACGTGCCCGAAGACCGCGTAAGTCCAGTTATTGGCTGCGAAAGCCTCAACTGATTTCGGCTTCTTCCAGGTTTTGGCCAATCTGGTGCGGAAGCACGAGGAAGTGTTTCGCTGGCACGAGCACCAGGCGCTGCTGGCCAATCGGCCCGAAGAGGACCTCAATGAGCAGCAGAAGAACGCCGCTTGGGAGGAGTTCTACAACCGCACAGGTATGTGAGCGACTCTTGTGGCATTGGCTGGATGTACCAGATTTAAATAATTTCAGTAATCACATGGTGTTACACCTGGTATTCGTTAATTTGGTGTTTTTGACGTTGACGAGTTTCAAGATTATCGAGACCGACCGATACTTGCAGTATTTTCGTATGCCAATTGCTAGCGATTCTTTCATAAACAAGCAATTGTGTGTGGTCCCCGTGTCACCTTGTTTATGAACGATTATCTAGTCATTGCTGTTCTCATACATAAGTTGCTCACTTCCTTTTTCTAAGGTCGGTAATTTTTAACGTTTCGACAATGTTGGCATCCCATTATTTTTTATTATTATTTATTTCTTTATTTCAAATTACATTCGATTGATACATGCACATGTATAAAGAACACAAAATGAAATGGCGTTAAAAAAACAATTGACAAAGGACATATTATACTAAAAGGTACTGTTGTTACATATTTAAATAGTCTCTAATACTATAAGGCTCTAACTCAATTAACATCTGTTTTAATTTATTCTTAAACAATTTTTCAATTCTTACTTTTTTAATGTTGTTTTCTAGTTTATTAAAGAATTCTATACCCATATGTGTTGGATACACAATGTTTCCCGTGCGGGTGCTATGATCCTGGTTAAAGTTGTTATCGTGTAAATTCATACTCTTAAAAACTCATAATATTGCCTCAAAAATGTACAGACTGTACACGGTTAAAACACCCTTTGATTTAAAAACCCCTTGACAAGACTGCAAAGGAGACATTCCGTAGATAGTCCTTAGTATACGTTTTTGTACTGTAA